AATGTTGGGTATAAATCAGTTAACATGTGAAGAAGACAATTTAGATCACTAGTGTGTTCTAATGCAATATTAACAATGTTATGAGAACCTTTCGTTAAATCAAATAAAAGACTTTGCACTTGGAGAGAAGAGAGAGGGTATTTATTTTCTTTTACGGCCAATTCTTCTTCTATTTTTTTCCAATCAATTTCCTGTTTGGCTATGGATGTGGGATCTGATTTCAGTTTTTTTGATGAGTGTTTATTTTTCATTTGCTTATTTTCAGAGGATTCACTCAGAGTCGAGTCTAAATCTGAAGCGGAGTCATCGATAATGTTATCAGATTGCTCTTGTTCTTTCGACGTTGTAGTTGAGTCATTGCTGGATGGTAGTGGTCTCTTAGTTTTTGGAACTGTTATTGTTGTAGCTCGTTCATATTGACCGTCAACTCTTGGTTTTTGTTAGTTACGTGGAGCAGAAAGAGAAGGGAAGTCAGCTTGGTTACTTACGATATTTTTTATTCCTAATGCACAAAAGTGGCGATTTCAAATAGCAGACAACAGGGAGTAAAAGTCATTCACTTGTTCGACTTGTATGAAACTGGCGGCCGTTTTCTCCCAAGGGCCAGAAAAACGCATGGGAACAGCTGATTTTCTTGTCCATGTAAGAACACGGCCGCCATTTTCATACGGTCGAAGAAATGAATGATTTTTTTCCCTGTCGTCCGCTATCAGAAAGCGCCATTTTTGTGCATTTGGGATGAAAAAAAATTTTCTAGCACATTAATAAAAATTTGTATATAAATTAAAATTAGCATTTAGAATTTATTTTTGCAGTTAAAAATGTAATATTTTGAAAGTCTCATATATTTTTATACTTTTTTAATAAGACGGTTTTTTACAGGTTAAAATCTATTGTTCTCGATTGTTTTGGATTTAAATATTTAGGTTGTCTTTACTGTTTTTATAATATTTTATAGTTATTATTTATTTTTTAATATTCTCTATTAGAGTTATATTAAATTGAAATTAAATTGGATCAAATTCAAATATTTTAATAAAAATTAGTGAATTTAATTATTATTTATTTATTTAATTAAATGTATCTTAATTGCAATATTTTTCTAGATAACCTTAACAATTTCCTTCTCTGATGCAAGTTTTTCAAATTGTATTCTGCTTCTTTTTCCCTTTTTAGGGTTCCGTACCCAGTAGTAACCCTATTAAAACGGTTACGGAAAATGACCATGTACCCCCCCTAGCGCTCACAGTTTTTCATCTAGAGAGCTAAAAATTGGTACACATATGTATTTTCACGCGTACACGGAGAGAGATTTTGTATTAATATTTGTTAAAATTGTCAATAGAATTTAATATATTCTTTTTCAATTTAGGGAAATCGTGTTTTATATTAAAAATTAATATTGTGCATATTAGTAGGTCGAAAAGGACAGAGAATAAAAAGACGTAAGAAGGAGGAGGATAGAATTATCGTTTCGAAAGTATTTCACACACACACACACACAAATTAGCTAACGCAAGCATGATACTATACAAACACAAACTATATACAATTTCGGAGATCTATGTTAAAACCTATAAACGCATATATATAAACTTAACTTAAATACAAATAAACGCAATAACGGACGCACGCTGTACATTGGGAGATACAGTTCTCAACTTCCTTATGTACTAAACTCGAGAAATTTTCTGAACTTGTGAGAAAGTGATATTTTCTCCATATTTTGTTTCAAAAAGTTCTTAATTTATTTTACATTATAAATACATACTTTTGTATGCTGGGTCAAAATTTTATTTATAAATGTTTATCATAATACTGTTTTTAAAATTGTTTGTTTCTGGAAAATGATTTCTATTGAAATTATATCCAATTTTTCGTTATATAGAAAAACCAATCATTTAATTTATTGGCATAAGAAAATGCATTATTTCTTAAATCATTTTTTTTAAATACCTTCCAATGTCCTAATTCATCATCGTACATCTACACGTCATTTAAATCAGTCAGTGCCGTATTTTGTCGGGCGACAATTGTAACCTTAAAATTTCACAGACCTTCCTTCACAGACCTTCGCTTTTATTTGGATATTTGAAAATAAAATTAATACTTAATTAATTAAAATGGTTTGAATCTTTTTTGTCACTGATTAACTTAAAACACAATGTACCGAATTCATATAAAAAAAGTTGTGAAATAAACAAATCTCTAAATCAGAGATGTGAATTTATGGCGTTTTCTGGTATAAAGTTTGACAGAATCAAACACAACTTATCACAGTTATTGTGACTATAATGTTTAATTTAGATACACTTATATTTCATTGGACTTCAAATTAATATTATTTCAAGTTTAGAGATTAATTTTTTTCCGTGCATAGCCTGCTATGGCCTGCTACTAGGCTGGTCATAATTTTTATTATAGTCGATAATACTATTCATTACTAAATTAACAATTTATGTAATTTTTCGACAGTATTTAGTATAATCATCTGGTAATACTTTTTACTATTGCATACTTTCTTACTTATAATATTAAAATTTCTTATTGACTATTTCAATTTCTATTACTTCAGAATAATACAAAGTAATAATTTGATTATAAAGTTTCTTAAAAATGGTAATATTAATTCATAAATGTACATGATTTCCCCAAATTGCAATCGGTTTTACTAAATACTAGAGTTGTGCAAAAAGCTCGATCGATTATTTCAAACTTTTCGTTTTTCTAGCAGAGCTGATCAGAATCAATCCGAACTTGAACCAAATTCCATCCAACACGTGCAGTATTAAACCTAAAATAATTTTGAGCACTTGAATTTTTCGAGCACTCAAATATTTTTGAGTAACTAAAACTCGAGCCTGGCTCGAGTATCGAGCCCGGCTCGAGCTCGACCATGCTATTCGAGCTTTTTGCACACCTCTACTAAATACTAATATAATAATACGAAATGGACTGGCGTTATACATTTTTATTTATTTTTTCGTGTAGATTTCAACAAACATACAGAAAAAATTATTGGAGTTCATCTTCATATTTTTTTTTGCGAAAAACTAAAATTTTGTTTCGTTTTAGAAAAAAAGTGTGTACCCCCCTCTTGGTTTTCACAATTCTTGGCCTATTGGACTGCAGTTTTGCTTATTTTATGTATTTTCGTGTGTAGATTTCAGGAAAAATATAGCGAACATGATTGGATTTGATCTTCATATTTTTTTCAGCGAAAAACTCAAAGTTTTTAAAAATTTCGTCAACAAAGCGTGTATTTCACTCTAGCGCTATCAATTTTTTACCTAGAGAGCTGAAAATTGGTACACTTTTGTATTCTCACGTGGAAAAATATAGTGGAAATGATTAGAATTGAGTTCTCTCAATTCTTAGTCTAGTGAACTGGCGTTGGGCATTTTTTATTTATTTTCACGTGTAAATTACAGAAAAAATTATTGGAGTTCATCTTCATATTTTTTTGCGAAAAACAAGAATTTTTTTTTGATTTAGAAAAAAAAGAGTGAACCCCCCCCCTTGGTTTTCACAATTCTTGGCCTATTGGACTACAGTTTTCCTTATTTCATGTATTTTCATGTGTAGATTTCAGGAAAAATACACCGAACATGATTGAATTTTATCTTCATATTTTTTTCAGCGAAAAAATTTTAATTTTTTAAAAATTTCGTCAAAAAAGCGTATTTTTTACCCTAGCGCCCACAGTTTTTTATCTGAAGAGATGAAAATTGGTTATTTATTTATTTTCACCTGTAGATTACAAAAAATACACAGCGAAAAATATTGGAGTTAATCTTTATATTTTTTTCATCAAAAAAGTAGAAGTTTTAAACGAGGGTACGGAACTCTCGGTTTTTGTACGAGTTCTACTCGCACTTGTCCGGTTTTTTTTCTTTCCTTCTCTTTTCCCTCATTTATTCATTTTAATTTTACGTATTACATATTTCTACTTTGAACTTCGAAAACAAGACGATCAATAGTGAAGTTATCAATTTATTAAACTGACAACCTTGAAATCCTAATTTATTGCGACAAAAAATTATTTTGTTACGGTTCTGACAGTTTCGGTCCTGACATTTTCACAAGTACCTCCTTGTATCTCGATAATTATTGAAAATTTTATGGCTTGCTTTTACACACAAATAAAAAAAATAATTGTTCGAATGTGCGTACAAGTTTGATAAATTTTCATAGCTTCGTTTAATTGTGCCGAATCAGTTACGGTCCTGACATAACCGGGTTCTTTGTCGAATTCAAGAACAATATTCTTCAATAATTTCAATATAAATTATAGCACATAAAAATTTCAACTGGCCACAGTTTCAGTAAGTATAAGCTTTTATTCTATATATTGTTGAATTCATTTTATTAAGGCACTCTTGAAATATTTGCAAGTACGTTTGCAGTTACGGTCCTGACACGAAAATAAGGAAAATTTTTCTAAATTAAATATCTTATTACTTTCCGAATGCGTATAATCTTCTAATTACTTTTAAAATAATCTTTAGATATTCATTTACATTTCTGTATTCGTCGTTTTCTTGTATTTTGATGTGCCAACTTATAAAAACTTATAAAATAAAATCTAAAATCAATTGTAAAATTGGGAAAAGACACTACTGATAAGTGGCAAGAGACGAATGTTGTGTATAAGTTTAATTGTAAGAGTGGCCCTGCGAATTATATCGGCCAGACAAAGCGCTCATTGAATACACGTATCAATGAACATAAGAATAACAAAAATGATAAATCTGTTGTAAGTGCCCATCAATTAGAGTTTAATCATGATTTTGATTGGAGTAATGCCACCATTCTTGATCGTGAACGAGATTATAAAAAACGATCCATTTCCGAAATGATTCACATTTTGAGTAGTGACTGCACGATTAACAAGAAGGAAGATATTTGTTTTCTCAATAAAACTTATTTCCCTCTTGTTAGAAGATTAAATTCATGATGGACTCTTTCTTGTTTACATTCGGTTCATTGACATCGCTATCTAAGAGGTGGTATTTCTCCAAAACAATTTTATATTCAGTTTTGACTTGATGTTCGCATCATAATGACCGAAATTTTCGTGTCTTGTATAAAATTGTGTACGCGTCCTAATTTAATTTGTGAACTTTTTATTTATTTTATATGTTCTAAATTATGTCGTATGTGTTTAAAAGTAATTTTATTTATGTTGACATAGTTGCAATGTGATTAAGTTTTTATTACATTCAGGTATTATTATTTTATACATATGTGTTTTATTTTGGTGTTTCGTTGTAATATTATTAATTGGTTTTATTATTAAATAAATTTAGCCTGATGAAGACAGTGAACCAAACTGTCGAAACGTCGCAACTTTAAAAAATAACATAAATGTTATTTATATTTACCTTCCTATTGATCGAATTTACTACTTCATAATTACCAAAATTAGTTTATGTTTCCAAAAGTACCTAAAGGGACTCACGTGATTTGCTTTCTTTACCACATTAAAAAAAATATATATTAATTACTAAACATAATTTAACAATTTTAAAACTAAAATATTTTAATATTATTAAACATTGTTTACATGGAACAATAATTCTTTTTATAAAACATTTGATATATATTGAGTCATTGCATAATAAATATAAGACACCTATAAAGGTGAAAGGTTCCAGAGAATTGACCATATACTTGTCGTCTAAAGCTTATTATGTGAGATAATATTTTGGAAGAAAAACCGTTTCGAACTGACATAATGGGCGACAATATTTTAATATTGATTTTCTGTAATTCTGTTTCTAACAAGCTGTCGTCAATAAGAGGGTGTACATTAGAGAAAACTATTCTTTTGTTTCTCGTTAAATAAGGACGGATGGGAATAATTTGGTGGTTAACGACGATGCATTTGTTTGATTCGATGATTGTATCTACTGTTTGTTTTGAGTCGAGGTAAACACATATTCTATTGTTGGCGATGCGAGAAAAAAAACGAATTTTAGAGGCTGGAACTTATTTCAGAAAGGGCAAGGATATATTCCTCATCGGTGGCATCGACTAATGAGTCTATTAAAATAGCTTGATCTCGAGTTATATTCTTTTTTGATTGGATTGCAGAAGCGTAGTTGGGCGAATCATTGTTGGGATTTTTCGTCGTTTCTTGAGACGTCATGATGACGACTTAGTGACTTGCAGTGGATCCCTGTAGTCAAGGATGCACTTTTTTTAAACACTAATATAACCACTGTTTGAATTAGCAATGATTATAAGTAAATATAAGGAAGTTATACACTATTGGCATAAACAAAATACACTTCTGGAAACTTTGAGAGCTACACGTAAACACGTCTACTCACTAAGAAGGTTACCGGAAGACTGAATGATAATAAATATTGAAAATTATTGAATTGCGAAAAACTTTTGAAAAATAATTGAAATTTTGCAAAGAATTTTATTTTAATTTTTGCGAAAATAATTGAATTTTTGGAGAAAAATTTTGCTATTTGTAAAGATAATTGAATTCTTGACGAGATTTTCGTCAAAATTTTTAAAAATAATTGAATTTCTTCGAAGAATTTTATTACTTTTGAAAATAATTGAATTCTTATGATGAATATTGTTATTTATGAAAATAATTGAATTTTGCAAAGAATTTTATTAAAAGTCCTAAAAACAATTGAATTTCTATGAAGAATTTTGTTATTTATCAAGAACTATTAAAACTTTTAAAATAATATTAACAAATTCATTCTTGTCAGAAATAGAAAATATTTTTGAAGGTTTTGTATAAGAATTTGTAGTGACCTTTGTATCCATATCAAAAAACAACCCCTGCGACGCTTGAACGAATCCACTGCGAAATTGTACGCGAGGCAACTGGTGGATGCACTTGAGCATATGCATTGTCGAGGGATTGTCCATCGGTGAGTTGCATCTATTAAAATTTCATGTCAGGGGTTGAAATTAGGTTAATGTGTCCCGTGGCAAAAAACGAAAAAAAAATTCCCCCTTTCAATCAATTTCAATAATATTCACACAATTTTTCCCTCCCCTTTTTTCGTTCAGATCCCTCCTCCCAATTTCCATTTCTTTTCATCGATTATTTTTTTCTTTTTAGGGTTCCGTACACCTACGGTGTATCGGTGGAACCCTATTGGTGAGACTCTGTTGTCCGTAGCCAAATCGTGTCCCCCCCCTAGCGGCTAAACTATTTGACCTAAAGAGCTCAAATTTGGTCCAGATATGTATTTTCACTCGTAGATTACAGGAAAAATATAGCGAATGTGATTGGACGTGATGGGCATAGCGTTGTCAAGGAAATAACAAGATTTTTGGCCAAAAATGCATAAAAAGTGACCATTCCCCCCCCTTAACTTCTAAACTATTCGACATGGAGGGCTGAAATTTTGCATGCTGGTGTATTTTTACTCAAATATTACAGGAAAAATATAGAGAACTTGATATGTAATGATGGCCATAGCGTTGTCAAGGAAAAACTAAAAAATTAAAAAAAAAATTTGTTTTCCCTAACTTTTACATTATTTGACCTAATGAGCTGGAAATTGGTATCCTGGTGTATTATTACAGTCTGACGACAAAAAATTTATTTAAGAAACTTTTTAAAAAAAAATTTTTTTTTAAATTTTTTTTTTCAAAAAAAAAAATTTTTTAATTTTTTTTAGTTTAAACACGTGGCATTAAATATTTTAAGGAAGAGTGAAATTTTAAGAGAATAAATGAGAGATTGTTTTCTGACTTTAATTTCTTAACTAAAAATAAAAAAAAATTGGATAAGTGCGAGTTGTACTCGCACTGCAATGGCGGGTTCCGTACACAAATATTAAAACAATACTTGCAACATTGATCGGTAATTGGTAGAATTAAAATAAACAATTATAAAAATATATTAAAATCATTTGATAAAAAAAATAACTAAAAAAAATTAAAGTATTGTATATCTAATATTATAAACAATAATAAGCAGAGGAACTATAATTTTGAAAATTTTGTTCCTCTGCTTATTATTGTTTACAATATTAGATATATACAATATTTTAATTTTTTTTAGTTATTCTTTTTTATTAAATGATTTTAATATATTTTTTTAATGGTTTATTTTAATTCTACAAATTACCGATAAATGTTGCAAGTATTGTTTTAATATTTGTGTACGGAACCCGCCATTGCAGTGCGAGTACAACTCGCACTTATCCAATTTTTTAGTATTATAGATACAAAAAAATGTGTATAGAAAAAAATTATAGACAAAAAATATTATATTACAAACACATCTGTGCTTATTTTACTATTTTTTGGAGAGAACATTTTTTCTTTTTTTGATATTAAGGTAAGTACGGTAGTGATTAACAATTTAAGACCTCAGTGTTCGAAATATAAATAATGTTAAAAGTCTGCGTAACTATATTGAAAATAATAATAAAGTTGAAATTATCGATCACTCCGAGTCAGGTTGAAAAAAAATATAACAAATTTTATATTTTTTTTATTTTACGTTTCAACGGCACAGCCGTCCTCATCAGAAACTAAAATTTTATTATAAACAATTATTAAATGAAATTACATAAACAAAACGAAAAATGTTTTACAAAATAAACAATACAAATAAAAAATACATAACTGAAAAAAATTATTAAAATTTCTTTTACCAGTAAAAATATTTTTAAAAAGAATAAATAATATTAAACATCTGAAAATTTGTCGTTCCGATCAACGCAAATTGCTACTTGACACTAATCAAATATAAAACTATTGTGATTGAACTATTGAGTGATCGATAATTTCAATTTTATTATTATAAATTTGCCGAGTGATAGCTCCAATTATTATTTATATTGAAAATAATTATTATTTATATATAATATTAAAAAAAACTATTTTCTACAATTGAAAATACTACAAATAAAAATATTTCTTTGAAAGTTTAATAAAATAAATTTGTGATAAATATAATTATATAATAAACAGGCCTCGGATCGACTTTAACCCATTAACGCCCACCAGGACGCAAAATGTACCATGATTTCACGACTCTTATTTTGTATGAAATAATTAGTTAAAAATTTTAGGAAATACCATTTCCGACGTAAAATTTATCGCTCTTTCGGAATATGAAGCTAAAATTTGTTTATAATTATCTCAAAAAAATTTATAACAATTTTATTGCAAAAAAACACACTTTTTTATGAAAAAAAAATTTTTCAATTATTATTTTGACATGGAAAACTAAAGAATATGGTCTCCAAAACACAAAATATCGCGTCCTCGAACTCTCAGCTATAAAAATCCATAATTACTTTTTTTAAATTCAAGATGGCGGATATGAAAATGGCCATTTTTCCAAAATGCAAAAGGCCGAAAAAAATTGTTGGGTAATGTTTTTCAAAAGTTATTAGATTTGCTTGAAAATGGTTACTCAGAGGTTTTTGGGGTCGCTGATAACGAATCTGATGTTACTTTTTTAAAATTCAAAATGGCGGATCCAATATGGCGAAAAATTTTTTATAAAGTGATTAAATTTGCTTGAAAATGGTTACTCGGGCGTTTTTGGGGTCACTGATTACGAATCTAATGTTACTTTTTTAAAATTCAAAATGTCGGATCCAATATGGCGGACATATTTTTTAAAAAGTGATTGGATTGGCTTGAAAATAGTTACTCAGGGTTTTTGGGGTTGCTGATTACGAATCTGATATCACTTTTGCAAAATTCAAAATGGCGGATCCAATATGGCGGACAATTTTTAAAAAAGTGATTGGATTTGCTTGAAAATAGATACTCGGGGTTTTTTGGGGTCGCTGAATTATGACATTTTTTATACAATGATAAAAAAGAGACTAACACTACATGTGGTTTTATTGAAAACAAGTGACGCACATATGACGGGTTCCACGTCAAGTGACCCAGGTCAAAAATTTACATGGAATATTTGAAAAATTTGTAGTTTCTTTAAAACAAAACAAAAATACGTTTTCTATTTTGGGTTTTGCTGCTGTTTTTCAACACTTTTTAATAGTGTGAACAAATGTAGAGAAAAAAATTGTTTGACCTTGAAAAATTAAATTAAAAAATAAAATTTCATTTTTTTATCAAATGGGCAGTTTTTATTTTTTTAAAAAAAATTTTATCATAAAGGTGAGGTTTTTTTCTAAAAAAATGTATGGGTCAAAACGTGGGACAAGAACTTTTAACTGGTCAAATTAAGCATTTACATATGCACTGCACCGGCCCACAGTGGAATTTTTTTACAATTTCCTATTAAAAAATGTCTATAGCTTACTAAATAAATCCTCTGATTGTGAGTCATCACCATCAGAAGGATCAGAAGGATCCGAAGGATTATTGTCAATAATGACATTTTTATTACTCTTTTCTTGATTATTATTTTTGTTATCAGTGTTATCTTCGTTCATTTTTCCTCTTTTGGTTGATACCTCGTCATTCATATTTTCGTCTTCGAGTCAGCAACGCTTTAATCGACTTTTTTGTGGTTTTTCTGGTTTACATAATAACAGTGCAGGTAAAACGCCTTTTCGAAGCATCGGTTTTTTATAAGTACTCTGAAAAATAATAAACATTTAATAAGCAATTAATTACATCAATAAAAATATATATAAAATATAATAATATAATATAAGTATTATTTTATAAGCTCCTTGGTAAAAATTTCGGACTAATTCCGGATTAAATACGGACAGATTAGTACGGATTAGTCCGAAAATGGTACGAATATGATCCGCGCTAGTCTGATATCAATCCGAACGAAAACCTGAATCCGAAAACACTCCGAAGTAATCCTCAATGTCTACGAATTCAGTCCGTCATTAGTCCGCAACAATCCATACTTATGACCGGTGAAGAATTCTTCTAAAATAAGTACGGAATCATCCGAAATCAATATGTAAAGAATACGGAATCGGTCCGCAACAATCCGAATTCAATCTAGTTAAAAAAAACTTATTTCGCAAAATGTCCGGAGCAATCCGAACTCTGTAAGCTAGAAATCCGGATTAGTCCGCAACAATTTGAAATTAAGTGTGGCAAAATCCTATTCCGAAACAAATACGAAACAATCCGAAAACTGTATGCAACGAATCCGGAAATTGTCTGAAACAATCCGGATTTAATCCAACTAAAAGGCATAATCCGAAACAAATACGAAATAATCCGAAATCTGTATGCAAAGAATCCGATATTAGTCCGCTTCAATTCGGAATTATTTTTTTTTAATAGTAAATAATAATAATTTTTAATAATTTTTTCACAATAGAATCGTGGGTCTATTGTTAGGAACCGTTCATAAACTACGTCACGCCTTAGAGGGGGGTGGAATTAATTTTTTGTTATTGCTCAGAAGTATTGCAATTTTAACATTTCAAGTGAAATGAATAGAAATTTAGAATCTAAAAATCTCCACACTGAGAAAAAAGAGAGCGCGTTGCAGCACATTTTTGATTCATGTTGCGCGACTCATCCCTGTGTTCTGCTAGACACTTTTCTGGGGCGTGCAGCGGACCCCTGAGTCGAGGCGAGCTGTATTTGAAGCGTATTACACGCTCTTTGGGGCGTGCTGCACGCCCCAGAAACTCTGTAGAAGAATTCAGGGTTGAGTCGCGCAACATGAATCGAAAATGTGCTGTAACGCGCCCTCTTTTTTCTCAGTGCACGATTACAAATATTTAAAATTTATTATAAAAAACATTTTTTAAGGAAACTAACGTATCTCGAAAACCGTAATTGATAAATAAAAAATGATATAATTTTTTTAAGTTCTGAAGGATATATTGTATAAATAATAAAAACATAACGTTAGAATTCTAAGTCGATGGAAAACAAGTATAATGTTTAAATAAATATAAACGTAAACAAATAAAAATATTTTTCTTCAATTTTATGACGGTCAGTTGACCTTTTTCCAGGTAAAAAAAGGGTGTCGACTTTGTATAAAAAACCTGACTACTTTTGAATTTTTCTGATTAAACATAACTCAAGTCTGATGTTCTGTGGCTGCAATCATAACAAAAGCAGTTTAAAATCATCAGAGATTCTGACTAAATTTCTGTCGCTTTGTGACTTTATTTTTAGTAGGGTACAAATAAGTTTTTAATAATTAACAACGTTTAACTATATACAGTTTAATTGTATATTTTTTAGACTTGTTTGATTTCATTCAGATCAACTCTACACAAGCATTTAATAAAAAAATAAAATGTTTAATTTTACACAATTTATATACGCGTTAATTGTGCACTGTTCAATTTTATACAAATTAATTTTAAATTAATAATAACGTTCAACTGCACACGGTTTAATTGTATGCAGATAAATTTAATAAATTTTAATTTTTTAGATTTGTTTAAACAAATTTGTCAAAAAGTTTAAAAAATTATTTTTTAATAATATATTCTTAAAATTCAATACATTCTCTTCAATTTTTATCTAAAACATTTTTTTCTAGGATCAATAGTTTACAAGATAAAAATTCCTGAAAAAAGTGACCAAAAAGTTTAATTAACAATATCTTGCAAAATAATTAAAATTTTGCAAAATCCTTGAGTGTACTTTAACCCTCCTGCGTACCTATTTTCACCCATAAAATTGTTTCCAAATGCACAAATTTTTCAAACTGTTGGATTTTTCTACAAATTGGTACCTAGGGGTTTTTGGGGTCGCTGATTACGAATCTGAGGTCAGATTTAAAAAATTCAAAATGGCGGATTCAATATGGCGGATGAATTTTTAAAAAATTGTTTGATTGTAATGAAACTTGGAATCTAGAGGTTTTTGGGGTCGCTGATTACGAATCTAGGTCAGATTTAAAAAATTCAAAATGGCGGATCCAATATGGCGGATGAGTTTTTAAAAAATTCATCCAAATTTCTTGAAAATTTATAATCGGGGTTTTTTGAGGTCGCTGATTACGAATTTAAGGTCAAATTAGAAAAATTCAAAATGGCGGATCCAATATGGCGGACGAATTTTAAAAAAATTGTTTGGTTTTATTAAAAAATTTTAATTAAACTTGGGTCTAGGGTTTTTTGAGGTCACTTATTACGAAGCTGAGATCAGATTTTAAAAATACAGAAGATCAGAGCAAATATGGCCGCCAGTTTTAAAAATATTTTAGATTTGTTATAGATATGTTGGTATTTTACAATTCCTTCATAAACTACGTCTCTGTTATATGAAGCAATGTGCATTTTTTAGACTTTCTTAGTTGAGTAGTACTACATAATGATGTTTTATGAATTTAACAATTTAACACATATTTAAACAAATAATTATAGATGTTGATTAACTCCTTGCACAAAAGACTTAGAAACATGCTTTTTCCAAATTTTAAAGTTAACAAGATCAGTACTATTGTAAGATTCATGTTTGTTAATTGTAAAATTGGAGGTATTTTATTCAACTTAGTTAATTGCAAAATTAAAAGAAATTGCATGCTTTTAGATGTTTTTTGTAAAAAGTTAGTAAATAACAACATTATTTGTTTAAACAATTGAAGAATCGTTCAATTTATGAAGAATCTTCATGTAATATTACTCAGCTTAGTTAATTGTAAAATTGGAAAAAAAATTGCATGTTTCTAGATGTTTTTGTATAAAGTTAGTAAATAACAACATTATTTGTTTAAACAATTAAAGAATCGTTAAATTTATGAAAAATCTAAATGTAATATTACTCAGCTTAGTTAATTGCAAAATTAGAAAAAAGCTGCATTTTTCTAGATATTTTTTGTAAAAAGTTAGTACATAACAACAATTATTTGTTTAAACAATTAAAGAATTGTTTAATTTATAAAATATTCTTATGTTGCCATTTTGAGTTTTAAAAATCTGACCTCAGATTTGTAATCAGCGACCACAAAAACCTCTAGATACCAAGTTTTATTAAAATCAAACAATTTTTTTAAAATTCATCTACCATATTGGATCCGCCATTTTAAATTTTTTAATCTGATCTTAGATTCGTAATCAGCGACCTCAAAAACCCCCGATTATGAATTTTTAAGAAATTTGGATGAATTTTTGAAAAACTCATCCGCCATATTAAATCCGCGATTTTTGATTTTATTAATCTGGCTTCAGATTCTTAATCAGCGACCCCAAAAACCCCTAGATACCAAGTTTCATTAAAATCAAACAATTTTTTTAAAATTCATCCGCCATATTGGATCCTCCATTTTAAAATTTTTAAATATGACCTTAGATTCGTAATCAGCGACCTCAAAAACCCCCGATAATAAATTTTCAAGAAAGGATAAATTTTTGAAAATTTCATCCACCATATTGGATCTGCCATTTTGAGTTTTTCTAATTTGACCTTATATTCGTAATCAGCGACCTCAAAAACCCCAGATTATAAATTTTCAAGAAATTTGGATGAATTTTTTAAAAATTTATCCGCCATATTGGATCCGCCATTTTGTATTTTTTAAATCTGGCTTCAGATTCTTAATCAGCAACTCCAAATACCCTTGAGATACCAAGTTTCATTAAAATCAAACAATTTTTTAAGAGAAGTATGTATTTCCAACTTGTATTTTGTGACCTATCCTCTACTGTTTATAACAAATATTTAATACTTTGTTTATTAACAAATACTTTAATTGGAGACTTTATTATGTATGTATCATTAACTATGAACCTTACACTGTAAGTTACACTTTGTCTCGTGTGTTAAAGTTAATTTGTTTAAAAGTTATGAGAAAAAATATTTGGACGAGTATACTCGTCCTCGCGCATTTGGTAACAACTTAGTTTGGACGAGTATACTCGTCACGGTACGCAGGAGGGTTAAAAGCTCCCTAAACACAACAAATTAACCGAGTGTAAACAAAATCTGGGATTCAAAAGTTCTTCCAACTATGGAACGCCCCTTATATCAACCAAAATACAAATTTTTAGAAAACATTTTGCAACCAGTAGAGGGTGTTGGCTACTTTTCATTTAATGAACATGTGGATGTTGTAGAACCAAACAATGCATTACCAAACTCAATATTTATATTTGATGACGTAGCATGTGGAAAACAAGATAATATTAAGGCCTTTTTTGCTATGGGAAGACACAAAGCTATGGATTGCTTTTATTTATGTCAGACATATGCGCGCATTCCAAAACATTAATTACGTGACAATGTTAATTTACTAGTTTTATTCAAACAAGATGAAATGAATCTTAGACATATTTATAACGATAGTTATAATAATAATAGACACCAATTCAGAAATTAGTTGACGACATTTAAATTGTTAAAAAAATTCGACCAGTAAAAATTGAAAGAGAGGGAGACCTTCCTTTACAGTTTGAAGAAGATCAAGAAGTTAAAAGAGAGAATGATTCATTTTTAAGAGATGACTTATCATTTGCAACAGCTGATGATGATGACGATAACGGTGATGATTATGATGATGATGGAGATAATAATGGAGATGGAGATAAATTAGAGAAATATGGTGCTATTTTATATCTTCAAATGTTGGATGAAAAGAGAAAAGATTTAGATCCTTCATATGGAGTTCGTAAATTACCTAAAGGGTAATTAATGATTGGTAATTCAGGAATAAATTTTTAACAACATAATATTAGTGTAGGTAATAAAACATATCCTGCAACGAAAGGTTTACTTGAGCTTTTATTCAAAAAAGTACCAGAAGAAGCTGTTTTAAGTGTAGTTGATCGGGAAAATTATAAAAATATTGTAATATCAACTAATGCTCATAAAAAATATTACAAAGCAGATGGCGCTGTTAGATATAAAAAGAGTTTAAAATATCTAAACTATATAGCAGTACATTCTGGTGAAGGTTTAATTCCAGAATATATGACTCAACAAGAAGATACAAAAATTGATTATGTTTATAGGGATGATCCTAATAAATTGGTTAATCGTTTAAGATTGCTTATGGCATCTTAAGCAGCTGGAAATCCCAGGTCATAATAATGAGATTATATCAATTATTGAAGAGTTGAGAGAAGCTGGAATTGTTTATTAATTAACAGTTGTAGAAATTTGTATCATTTTCATGATGAGTATCGACATATTCGGACGTCAGTTTAAAAGCACAGAAACTTCATATCGAGGTCCACCAGGGCTTGGTTTTAAGTTGACTGGTGAAGGAGATTTTAATATTGAAAATAAGAAACTTTGTAACGTAGCTGATGCTGAAAGCAACGGTGATGCAGTAAACTTAAATACTGTAAACAAAGTTATTGAATCTAAAGCAAACGCCATCTATGATGTAATCGGCTCTGTGAGAAACAATATAAATGACAATATTGTAAAGATTTTAAAGTTAGAAGATTCGATAAAAATATATCTTGAAAATCTAAAAATTAGTAATGAAAGAAATATAGAGATGATGCGTAAAAATGAGTCAAGGATGGCAGCACCCTGGGAAAAGGTTTCAAAAAGTTGGTTAAAACCTCGGCACAAGCCAAGGACCAGGAAGATCATAACCGAGGCAAAACCCTGGCTAATGAACGCTTTCCAGGGTATACAAAATGCCTGGCTAAACAGCAGCTGAAAAACACAAGTATCACCAGTTCAAAAACCTAACAAAACCCCGGCTAAAGTTTTCACCATCATACACGGAACTTTGAAATTTTTCTTTTTACTTTTTCGGAATTGCCAACCCCGGGACAACCCTGGCATCACCAGTTACCATTTTTTCACCCGCAAATCCGCCGAAGAGGAACTTTGAAATTTATCTTTTTACTTTTTTAGAATTGCCAACCCCGGAACAACCCCGGAACAACCCTGGCATCACCATTTACCTCTTTTGTCTCCCTCAAAACCGCTGCAGAGGAACTTTCAAATTTATCTTTTCACTTTTTTAGAATTGCCAACCCCGGGACAACCGTGGCAGCGCCTTTTACCATTTTTTTCACCCGCCAAACCGCAGCAGAGGAACTTTGAAATTTATCTTTTTACTTTTTCTGAATTGCCAACCTCGGGACAAGCCTGGCATCACCATTTACCATTTTTTTCACCCGCAAAACCACCGCAGAGGAACTTTGAAATTTTATTTTTACTTTTTCTAAATTGCCAACCTCGGGACAACCCTGGCACCACCTTTTACCATTTTTTTCACCCGCAAAACTGCCGCAGAGGAACTTTGAACTTTTTCTTTTTTGGAATTGCCAACCCCGGGACAACCCTGGCATCACCAGTTACCATTTTTTTCATCCGCAAAACCACCGCAGAGGAACTTTGAATTTTTTTTTTAACTTTTACTAAATTGCCAACCTCGGGACAACCCTGGCACCACCTTTTACCATTTTTTTCACCCGCAAAACCGCCGCAGAGGAACTTTGAATTTTTTCTTTTTCGGAATTGCCAACCTCGGGACAACCGTGGCATCACCAGTTACCATTTTTTTCACCCGCAAAACCGCCGAAGATGAACTTTGAAATTTATCTTTTTACTTTTTTAGAATTACCAACCCCGGGACAACCCTGGCATCACCATTTACCTTTTTTGTCACCCTCAAAACCGCCGAAGAGAAACTTTGAAATTTTTCTTTTGACTCTTTCTGAATTGCCAACCTCGGGACAACCCTGGCATCACTTTTTAAAAGTCGTTTTACCTGCAAAACTGCCGTATAAGGACTTGGAAAGATTTCTTTTTAATTTTCGGTTTTTCCATCCCTGAGACAACCCTGGCATCACTTTTGAAAAGTCTTTTTACCCACAAAACCGCCGCATAAGAACTTTTAAAATTTTCTTATTATTTTATTAAATTAACAACCCCGGAACAACTGTGGTATCTCTTTTTTATCATTTTTTCACTTGCAAAACAGCCACATAGAACTTTGATATTAATTATTTACCTAATAATATTTTACTAAAAAATAACATACATTTTTCTAATAATGAATGAGATTTAATCCAAGACAATAATTTGATATAAATTTTTTTTCTTTTTTATTATTCAGTCCTTTTTTTCTTTGGAATTGATTCATCCTTGCGCTCCAAATCTTCTTTTTTGTTATTCTCTGATTCTTCACTTTCTTCGTCTTCCTTCTCCGGATTTTTTTTTGTTTCATTTGTCTACTGGGATGTAAATTCTTTTTCTGGGATTTCGGAGAGTGCAGCATTGACTATTTAAAGTGTCTATATATTTTTCATAGATTATTCCTTTTGATTTTGTCTTCACATAATCTAAATAATATTTTTAAATAATTTATATATGTATAAATATATATATATTATATTATTATTGATATTCTTTTAACTTTTTGTCATCTACGTAATAATATTTTCAGGAAATTTAAGTTTGTCGACTTTTGGAAATTTCTTTATTTGATTACCCAGTGTTCCCGAATATTTTGTACAAAATATCTTTTAAAATGAAAACAAATTCTTGGGATTTGATTACATAGGATGGATTCTCGAAAAATCCACAGAAATGATGTAAGAAGTTATTTGGAATCATCCTACGTTAAATTTCCCGAAAATCTCCAGAAAATCTTTTACATGTAGGACAAAAAAATACGTACTATATACTGCATTTCGGACTTTTTCGGGGATTGCTTTTCCCGGTTTACCGACTCTTGAGTGTCCAAGAGCAGTCATTGTTTTTAATTCTTCTTTGCCTACCAACTCCAGCATAAGTCTTCTTACCATTTCCTCCGGTCGTTTTTGAAATCTCGTAAATTCTATTTCATTTGTCTTTGAGATAACAATTTCGTCATTTATAATCTGGACTTTCTTTGATTCAATGTTGGGCGGCTGGTTTTCTATTGCACTTGTAGATGTATTAATGCCCAATTTTCCCTCTGCATATGACGCAAGTGACTTTAAAAACTGTACGATTTCTTGAGTTACTAAAATATAAATAATTCTATTTATTACAATTATTCATAATTTTTTTCATCGTGAACTATATTTTAAATTAGTGACGGTTAAATTATTCTATAAATTGACATTCAAATTTGACAGGTGTTAAGAAAATAAAAGTAAGTTTCCACATAAAAGTACTTTTCACTTATAAAGTTAAAGTTAAATTTTTAAATAGAGATTGTAGTATTAATTTTAAATCATCAATACTAACCAGTTGGAAAACAGGAATCCACAATTGCTACCGCGCCTTCAGAAGGACTTTGACGATTTTGGTTATTTTCAATATCAAAGTTCATACTTTCACCTTTAAAAATATTTTTTGTTTCATTATAAAGATAAAAATGTGAGGAAATATAGTTAACTTAATTTGAGGAGGTTTAAAATATGCACACCAGGCTATCAAACTTCATGTAAGTTTATTACTTAGTATTATTAATAATAATAATAATAATAATATAAACTATTTATAATAATATAATATAATAATATATTACCCTGTTAATAATTATTAACAGGGTGTCTACTATTTTCATTCAACAAAATTTCCAGTTAGAAGAAATTTATTGTAAATCATTAAATTATTTTGACGAGTTTCTTTAAATTTGTTAACAATGTTTTTTTAATTATTTTAGTTTAGGATAGAAAATAATTGAATTGGAAAATAATTGTAACAAACAGTTTTACCATTTTTTAAAAATATATTTTAAAAGTAGTTTAATCCTTGGAGAGAATGTTATTATATATGAAAATAATAAGCAGTAATAATTAATTATTTACTTAATAAGTAATAAAAATTTATTTTGTTCAAAGAATAAATAAATATAATTTATTTTAACATTCAGAATTTAAATTAATAAAAATTTAAGAGTAGTTTTATAATTATAAATATTGAATAACACTGTGTGACAGTGATCTGGCACTTTTATAGAGACCTATCACAAGTTGTAGGTCTAGTAGAGCTAAGAAAAAAGGTATGGTCGATTTTTCCCATACACCCCCAAAATCTTATTTTATGGCCAAAAAATCGTTTTTTGGTACTTTTATGTGAATAATCACTCGTAACGTAGCTAATTTTTATCCGATTTATAAATTTTTTTTTTAGTTTGAATCTGTGAAAACATACCTTTTTGACAGTACATTAACCATTTTTTTAAAATAAAAACTGACGAAACTGCAGTTAAAAGAATTTGGGATTTTTTGATTTTTTATTCACTTTTTCAACTTTGACGCTGTTTTGTTGATACTATTAAGTCTTACAAATTTTTTTCAACATAAGAGCTTAATAGTAAATTTAGTTCCACATCGAATGAGCTTTGTTTGAATGAAATTGGATAAAAATTGACGGAGTTGTGTGAATATTAAAATTTTATGATTTTTTGTATCGAACAATCGGATAGATGCGACTTTCACATTCAATTATTTATTATTGAACCTAAGTTCAGACCGCGCCTTTAATAACAAGAGAATGTTTATTTGACAGTCTCCGTCATTTAAAGTTTCAGTAGTCAGGTTGAAATTATGATTAAGAAATGTGTGATAACAGTAATAAGTTTTGTTTTATATGTGGTTTGTTCGTGGATAAGAAACATCGTTTGGAATTAAAAAATAATAAAGCTGTAATTGATAGCTACAACGAGTTCTTCAATCTCCAATACACTTCCTCTGATCGCTGGTATGAACCAGAGTACGTATGTGTCGAGTGTTCGTCGAAGTTCAAGAAATGGAAATCGAAAAGTTGCCTCAATGTACGAATTTCATTATCTGCTCCGATGATATGGCACCATCAGCCTTATCATAAACCAAAGGACTGCTATTTCTGTAACACAGACGTACGTGGCCATCATTATAAAACGCGTAAACGCATAAAGTACGCTGATGTTGAAACTGCAACGAAACCATTAATCCTGCTTGACGAGGTTAATTCAACCGCAGTTCCTAAATCGAAAAAGGTCGAAGTCGTAAATAATAGTCCAGTTGATGATCATGAAGTTGATGTTCAGGAAGCTGAAGATGAAGAATATGTTCCCCCTGCGACAAACTCAAACGAACGACATTTCGTATCAAATAGAGACTTTAAGGATCTTTCGCGTGATTTAGGTTTATCAAGAAGACAGTCTGAGATGCTCGCTTCTCGAATTAAGCAGTGGAATTTAACAGAAGATGACTTCAAAATAACACTATCCCGGAACGATGATCGTATTTTTTTCAGAGAAATTTTTAAAGCTGATGATGAGAATGAAAAATTTGTTTATTGTTCAAATGTGTCTGAACTTTTCTACCTCTTGAACTACGATCACGTATCCGATGAGTGGCGACTCTTCATTGATGGATCGTGCACGAGTAAGTCCTCTCTCAATATGATGAATCATATTCATCACATTCTTTATTTGAATTTTGATTTTCAAAATTATTAATATTATTATTATTAATTATTATTATTTTTTATTTTTATTATTATTATTATTACTCTTATAGGCTTAAAAGCTGTGTTATTACACAATGGAAACAAATTGCCATCAATTCCGTTAGCATACGCAACCAACATGAAGGAAACATACGACAATTTGGAAAAAATACTTCGTGTCATCAATTACACTGAGTATAAGTGGAAAATAGTCAGCGACTTAAAAGTGCTCACAATTTTATTTGGAATGCAAGGTGGTTACACCAAGCATCCATGCTATCTATGTGAGTGGGATAGTCGTGCCCCAAATAGGTATGCAAGAAAAGAATGACCATCACGTCACCTGTTTAAAATTGGCCAGAAAAATGTTTTAAATCCTCCACTAATACGGTCAGAAAATTCCATTTTACCACCACTACACTTGAAACTTGGGTACGTGAAACAGTTCTTGAAAAAATTAAAATTCGACGGCGAAGCGTTTCGTTATCTGAAAGAAGATGTATTCCCTAAAATGAGTGAGGCAAAGCTAAAAGGAGGTATCCTGTGATTCTTGTTTTTTGTCAGTTTATAACTTTCCTACATTTTTAAACCCTTTCACACACTACCTTTATATAGAAATATGTTTTTGGTTCTAAAATTAAATTTGAGGTCTAAAAATACAAAAAAAATTTCTATTTTTCATCCTTTTCAATTTTTTTTTCTAAACAACTAATTGTTAAAATTTTTTAATTAAAAATCACCTTACGAGACAGAAAATGTATTACAAAAAAAAATAAAAAATAAACTTATGTTATATATATACGAATTTTCTTTGAAAAAACATATTAAGAAGTAGGTAGTTCTGCATGCGTAAAATGGTGAAAGAGCTGTTTTTATTAATTTCAGGAATCCTTGTAGGCCCTCAAATTCGAAAACTAATGAGAGATGATGAATTCGCGAGAAAGTTAACTGTAGTGGAAAGACGAGCTTGGGAGAGTTTTAAGGCTTTGTGTGAAAAGTTTCTTGGAAATCATAAGAGTCCTGATTATGTTGCAGTAGTTGACGAATTTTTGAGTGCATATGAAGAAATGGAATGCAATATGTCCATTAAAATCCACTTTCTTCACTCACATCTGAATTTCTTTCCTGAAAACCTAGGAAAGATGAGTGATGAGCAGGGTGAACGATTTCACCAGGAAATATCGGACATTGAAAAACGATTCCAAGGAAAAAGCTCCATCAACATGCTTAGTGATTATTGCTGGTCGCTTAAACGGGAAACGAGTGATGAATCCTATAAACGGAAAAGGTCAAGCAAACACTTTTGAAAAAAAGAATACCCTCCAAACATTTTTTTTAAATCTTGGTTTCTATTGTCTTTTCCTACTACTTAATTAAAAAAAAGATTGTCAACAAAGATAATGTTAAAATTAAAATTCTGTTTTACTATTTTCTTAAAGTACATATACGCTACATACCCACATGTATATTAATAAAAACATGTGCTTTTTAATTTTTTAATTCTTTATATCAAGTTCTGATGCAAATTCCAAATCAGCTATAAACCTGAAAATTGAGTGAAAAAATCATAAAATTTTAATATTCACACAACTCCGTCAATTTTTATTCAATTTCATTCAAACATAGCTCATTCGACGATTTGTAAGACTTAATAGTATCAACAAAACAGCGTCAAAGTTGAAAAAGTGAATAAAAAATCAAAAAATCCCAAATTCTTTTAACTGCAGTTTCGTCAGTTTTTATTTTAAAAAAATGGTTAATGTACTGTCAAAAAGGTATGTTTTCACAGATTCAAACTAAAAAAAAATTTATAAATCGGATAAAAATTAGCTACGTTACGAGTGATTATTCACATAAAAGTACCAAAAACGGTTTTTTGGACATAAAATAATATTTTGGGGGTGTATGGGAAAAATCGACCATACCTTTTTTCTTAGCTCTACTAGACCTACAACTTGTGATAGGTCTCTATAAAAGTGCAAGCAATTTTTTTTTGTCACACAGTGTAATAATATAATTTTTATAAAATGCTTTTAGAAGCAAAAATTGATTCCATTAAAAAACTTTAATTGCGTATGTTTTTTTAAATTAACTGATAAAACTTTTAATCATTAATCTTGGTCCCTAAGAAATATTAATACTTTAGAAATGTAACTCTTTATAAAATTCAATTATTAAATTAAAATACTTTGAAAATTCTTTGCGTTAAGAAGTTTGTAATGAAATTCTTTAACAAATTTAATTATTTTCAGTTCTGAATTTTACAAAATTTCTATTAATTCAATAATTTTTTTAAAATTTATTTACATATTATATTTGAATCAGTGTTTGATTTTTCACTATCAAATTAATTATTTTCAACTAATTCAAATTTAGAGAACAGAATAAATATTTATAAAAATTGAAATAAAAAGCAATTTTTTAAAAACAGTTTAAAATAACAATTTTTTTAATTTGATGACAAATTCCCGGTTTGACATAAAATTCCCGATTTTTCTCGGTCAAATTAAATTCCCGACTATTTCCCGGTTAGTAGACACCTTGATTAAGGATTTAATTGAATAGTGAATTTCAAAAAGGCTGAATTTGGTTTTTTGAAATTTTACAGTGACTTGGAAAAAATTGGTATTTTAGTTGTCAGAGTTGACCCCTTTTCGAAATTAAATAAAAAAATTAAATCGTTTTAATCATTAAAATATATCAATTAAATGTTTTATTATCCAGAATCAATTTATTTTTTTTTTAAATACTATTTTAATAAGTACTACTATTTTAATAAGTAGTAGAGAAATCAAACTTTAACTTGGTTTCTCTAGTTATTCTGTAATTATTAAAGTTTATTTCAGCACTTGTATAATTTTGTAAATAATTCTCTTTATGATAAAAAAATGTCTCTAAATCAAAACTAAATCATTTTTATGATTTTTAGGTCAAGCAAAAAATTACCTTTTGAGGTACTTGGTTGAAGAATTTCAACCCCTTTTTTTCCCCTCAAATTTGCAATTTTATTTCCTGAGTTAACGTTAATTTCCCTTCCATTTTTGTTCGAGTCATGCCCTGTAAAAATATTTAATTTTTTAACAAACAAATGATTCTCAAAGTATTTATAATTTCAAAAATAAAGCGAATGGATATTATTTAACAGTTTTCTTATAAATACCTTCCGCGATTTTGGATTCTAAAACTTCTGTACCCTCGATAACAATTTCAGTTTCTGAATCTTCATTTTCTGAATTATCACTTTGAGAACTTGCAATTTCCCTTTGTTCTTGGTTGTCGAACTCAGCTTCTTTCTTCTTGCTTTCTGGCTTACCTCCTTTAAAAACATTTTGTAATTATTTTTCACATTTATATCAAATATTAGTTTGCCAAGTGCGGAATCTTTCCTTGAGATTCTAGTGAAAATTTCCAATAAAGAAGACAATTTAAGCTTCCAGAAAGCTTTTTAAAAATTTATTTTTCAAAAATATTGTAATATAATTTTATTAAAATAATTGGATTTTCTTCAAAACGGAAATGTGTAATGTATTCAATACGGAAATATGTATAATTAAAAACATTGAATATAATTGAATTTAATAAAGTAAGATTGAGAAAATTCTAAGAATTACTTTTTACAATAACATATATTAATAAAATTTTTACTAGTTAATAAACAATATTTTTACACTTTAAAATTTTCCATTGAAATTTTTAAAATGTGTTATTTTGTTGCAACCAAATTTGAAAAATTAATTAATATCCAAGGCCTGTTTATCTGATTTCAAATTAAATGCAATTAAACAAACTATAGATGCAGATATATACAGATTTTGCAATCAAAATAACCTTTTGAGACTCTTGGTTTAGGAACTTGAGCTGAATTTTCGTCTTTCCCAGCTGAAATATTCTCATCTGTTTGGAATGTTGATTTTTTCTTGCGATTTCCGTGGTCCTTCTCGTTCTTTCTTCTCGATTTACCTGCTTTAAAAATATTTCTAGATTATTATTTGTAAGTTTATTTAATTATCTAAAAGTTTCGATTCATAATTTATGTAATCAATTGAGTTTTTTAGAACATATGTTTGATATTTTAGTAATCTAATAGTTATTGTATTTTAATTATTAATTAATTTTGCTTTTTTTATTATAAGTTTTCCATTTTTTTACAGAATTTTTATTAAACATTACTTTTAAAATAATTTTTGTAAAACAAAGAATATAAACAATTTTATTATAAAACTATATAAATTAAAAATTTTTTTAATAATGATTTACCCTTTTCCTTCGAAGTTGTATGCGCACTAATCATAGTTGATATCGAATTCAATTTGTTTATTTCGTCGTTGACTTTATTTTGAACTGCATTTCTTTCCTTATTTCGAATTTTTGCTCCTTGACATGGCATCGTTTTTCTTCGAAGCAGTTTTTGGTGGAATTTTCAAATTATTTATTATTTTTCCTTCCTTTAAAACTTCCAAGGACATTAATTACTTCCGGTCTTCTAAAATATTGAATTTTTAATTAGTAAATTTTAAATTAAACTTATTCAAATTAAATATAAATAAATTAAAATAAATAATTTAACAAAATAGAACATTTTAAAGGGTAAATAGTATGTTTAATAATAATCTATATTAATAATCGTTATATTCCAGTAATCTTATTGCAATTTGAAGTAAGTTATTTTTTTTTACTTTTTGTGTCCCAAATTTTTTGTAATTTTTCTATTTTAAAATGTTTTAAATTTTGAAATTAATGAAATTCTAACATAATGCTTTGAAGATTAAAAATAACAAAAATTAAATAAAGAAAATAGTATTTAATCTGAAATTACAATTCAATTTGTAACTTTATTTTAACATTCTCGAACATAAAAATATTTATAAAATATTGTAGAAAGACTAATTTTTAATACTGCAAAATACAATTAATTAAACATGTAATAAAAATTTTTTTATTTTGAAATTACAAAAATGACAATTTATACATTGAACTCATAAGGCTAAGATTTATTAATTGAATCCTTCAAAGAATTATATTCAAATTTTTATAAATAATTGTTTGTTTTAGCAATTTTACTAAAGGTTTAAAAAAATAATTTAATTATATTAAGAAATTATATTGAATACACATTTTTTTTAAAAAAATGAAAAATTCTCTGGAAAAATTTAGTCGAAATCGTATTGATATAATAATTGAATTCTTAAACAAATTTTATTGCAAAATTTCTATAAATAATTACATTTCATGAAGAAGTGTTAAAAATAATGAAATTATTTCAAAGAATTTTATTAAAATTTAAAAAATTAATTCAATTTTATCAAGAAATTTACATAATTCTAAAAATTAAACCATAGCAATTTTTATTTATAATTTATTATTAAATTATATTATTATAATTATATATTAATATAATTATATTATTATTCAATTATTTAATATACAATTGATAAACTAAATTTAAAAATTCATTTTGATAAAACAATATTTACCACTTCTTGCCAAAATTACAGCCCTGTACGCTACTCCTTCTTCGAATATTTCAGTCTCCTCTCCATCGGGAATATTTTTTGAATCCTCTGATTCTTCGTGCACACTATAACACTGATCTTCGCACCATAAAATTAGGCAAAACATTTTTTTTTTTGAAGACATGTTTCTCGTAATCAGTCTTTTACACTGAATGTCATGTCAATAAACTGAAGTTTGACCATTAATTCAATGCAGTGAAAATACCAAAAAAAGTATTAAATATTTTCAAATTTATTTGAATAAAAATGTATCTATCCATGCACAGGTATTTTAAAATTATTTATATTTTTGCTTTTCTTTTTTCAATTGTCAATTATATTCAATTTTGTAAATATTTCTATAATTAAATTAAAGTAAAATAAAGTTTTTTTCCTAAATTCATTTTTCAACCTTTTTGTTTTTCACTTTTTTAAATTGAGAAACGATTTTTCATTACGACGACAAATGTGTCATATGATATAAAAAAATAAAATTGAAAATAAAAAGTGAAATATTTTTTTAATGACACTAATAAAAAAAGAAAAAAAATAATTCTTTTTTTTACGCATGAAATAAAAAGTATATTTTAACAGAAGTAATTATAATTAAAAATTAAGAATGAGTCGATATAAAGATTTCCATAATTACTCACAATCAACACGAAATAGAATTCTACAAGAACTGCGGCATGAAGAAAATATTTCATCGAATTCAGTAAGATGATTTATTATTTCCATATATCTCAGCAATTTCATAAAAGTAAAAATAATAATAAATATATTTTATTGTTTTCAAAATATATACTTTTAGTAGAATAGAATAATGAACCCTTGAATAATAATTAATTAATAACTTAATTAATAATAAACATTTAAAAATACAATTTTTTGTTTCATGTCCTCTTATAACCATTATATATATTTTGTATTTTCCCGTAGTTTATTTGATTTTTATCAAGTAAAATTATTGCAATATAGTTATAGTATTGAATATAAAAATTTTGTGTTTTTTAATCGGATAAAAAAAATTCTCTCAAATTTCTTAATTATTGAGTACATTTGAATATTAAAAATGAATTAATTATAGTGAGTATAAAATTTATTCAGTAAATATAAAAACTTATAACTTAAACAAACTATATAATGTTTCTTCTTACTGAATTTAGTAATTTAAGAAATTAAATAAATTGTTAACGATTAATATATTGAAATTTTTTTGACTTTTTCCTGATTTTTATAAAAAATATTCCCCTTTTTTCTTATCTTGGTAATAACTGCAATTCAAAATTTGATAGAAATTCGTGTAATTTTATTCGATAAAACGGGTATAGTATTCTATAAGAATATTCCATACAAAAAATTCGTATGGTATATCTACGGTAATATATCTACGATCGGAAATTACACATTCAATTTTGCTGAAGAAATTCCTCTAGTAATTTATTAGGATATCCCCATGTAATCCCAGGTGTAAATTGACGACTGGTGGGAATTTTCTTAACAATATCGTTAGAATTATAATATTGTGACATGCTGCGAAGAAATATGCTAAAAAATCATTTTTTATTAACCAAAAAGATTAAAATTTATCAATATGTTTATCTATATAATTATGTGTTAATACAAATACTGTATTCTAATATTGTTTTTATGCATATTCTATTTGTTTACAAAATCTATTATTGCAAAATCATAAAATTTTTTAATAAACAAAAAAATTATAAAATTTTTGACAACTTTCTTTTTTTAGGTTTACTTATTATTAAATCAATAAATTAAAGACAATATTTAGAAAGTTTGTAGTTTTTTCCTAACTTTGCAATTTACTAAATCTTATATGCGATTACAGATAAATAGGAGAAATTGAATAATGATATAAACCATTTTTAAACATTTTATTGTTGCTATTTAACAAATTTTTAAAAAATGCACCCAGAGAGTTCTAGTTTATTCCCAATTTTGAAATTGACTAAACTTTATATAATTTCAAATAAAAATTAAGAATTTAATTATTATTCAAACAATTATTTGTTAAGAATAAAAATTTATAGTGCTCAAACATACTTGAACACGTACACAAAGTTTTAACAATGAAACCTCCCAGTTTCGAATTCCGACTTTTCCACCTAGGATGTTAAGTATAACATTTTTTATAAAAATTTCTGATCATTTTTCCAAACTGCGGACAATATTTAGTTTTTTTTGTCCAAAATTTTGGACAATAACTAAGTGAATTACGAAGTTTTTTCAAATAGTATAATTAAAATTTTATAGAAATTATATTTAAATTTTAATTAACTTAATTTTTTTTAATTATAATTTTTTATTTCAATTTCTTAATTTCGCATGTTATGTTTACTATAAAATGTTTTTTAAAAATTTTCGATTAGTTTTCCAAACGAATTATTTTCATCTGGGCTTAAAAAAATTTTAATTACAATTTTTCAAAAAAATTTTTTTTTATAATTTCTAAATTAAATTATTATTTATAACTTGAATAATTTATTTTTAAATAAATAGTTTAATATGTTTATGTAAAAGGTATAAAAATATATGAGAATTCAAAATTACTTTCTCTCTCATTATTTTTTCATGTGCAATGATAATTCAATTTATGACGTCAGATTAACAAATGAAACTCTTAATTAGTAACCTACAGTAACCAGTGTTATTTCTTTGCGATTACTTAAATCTGAAAATGAGTGACGAAAATTGTATACTAGAACAACTTAAGGAGAAAATCTCCAAATTAAATGCGGAGATTGAATCATTAAAGAATAGTAAGTAGATAAAATTAAATTTAATCAAATGAAATCTATGCTTATTTTTAAAAAAATAATTATGTTGTTCTTTTCAGCAAATGACATATCCATGGACTCTGACATACTGTCAGAAAGCAGGGATAATAAAACGAATAAGAGAAAGAACAGTAAGTTCTTAAATATAAAATTGTTGGTTAATAATAATTTAGTACATATTCTTTATACATTGGAAAAGGAAAATAATTTTTAGAAATTTTTTTGAAATATGTAGCTAAATAGTGAAATTAATTTTTTATTATTATCAGAAATAAATATAAAGTAAAGTGAAGTAATACACCTATCTCTTATAGATGAACGTGATCAACAAAAGAAGAGAAATAGAATGGTTTGGAGTGGGCAATGGGTGAATTCGAACGTGGAAAATAGCGTATCGTTAAATAAAGAGGAACAGAAAAAAAGTTATTCTTTATTAACCTTTAATTTACAAATTCCACAGAAAATTTCAACGAGTATTATTTTTTATAACAAAATATATAATTTATTTATTTATTATTAAAATAATAATAATAATTATTATTAATAAAATTGTTTAAGAACCGTTTTATAAGAATATTGATAATAATATTTAGAGGCAATGTGGGAATTGTTTGAAGGATTACATTAGCGAAACTAAAAGACACGTATTTAATAGAATCAAAGAGCATGAAACATTAAAAAATTAAAAATAAATAAATTAAAATAAATATATTTTTTAAATTTAAATTAAATTAAATTCCCGCTTAACGTAATATATGATATATATAATTCCTACTTTATCATTTTTAAACTTAATCTGTGGAGTTTTTTTAAATTAACCTAAAAATTTAAATGTTTCTCACATGGTGATCATTGTAACGTTCACCATGATTTTTAATATAATGGCTTTTACCATGAATATTTTTACCATGGACTTTTTTACCATCATGGTTTTTGGGAAAATTTTAAATTTTAACCTTTTGTTATATGATTATTAATGTGATTGAACACAAGGTGAGTTTTTTCTCTTTTAATTTGTTTTTTTTAAAAATTTTTTCAAATTTTTTCTCTTTGGTGACAATTAATATCTTATAATGATTTTCATTACAGATGTGTTTTTCATTTGCCTATGTTCGTTTTAAGATTTAAAATTTGCCTGATGAGGACTTAATTAAGTCGAAACTTGTAGCAATTTATAGCAATTTATTTGTAATAAACGAACATCTTTAAAACCGTAAAAGGCCTCTAAATATTATTATCAATAATTATTATTATTATTATTATTATTATTATTATTTGTTATTATTTATTATTATTTATCATTATTTATTTTTAGGGTTCCGTACACCATAGGTTTACTGACGGAACCCTTATGAAATCACTCGTGTGTCCGTCCCAGCTACGCAAAATGGGCTGTCCCCCCCTTAACTTTTACAAACCTCAACCTAGTGAGCTGAAATTCGGTAGGGATCTTCAGTTTTAAGTGCAGATTACAGGAAAAATATAGCGAACCCAATTGACGGACATATTTGCAAACTAGGAGGGAAAGAAATTGAATTTTTCAGAAAAAATTACAAAAAATGACCCTGTCCCCCCTCCTTAATTTTTACAAATCTCAACCTGGTGAGCTGAAATTCGGTAAGGATTTTCAGTTTTAAATGCAGATTACAGGAAAAATATATCGAACCCAATTGACGGACATATTTGCGAACTAGGAGGGAAAGAAATTCAATTTTTTCGAAAAAATTAAAAAAATTACCCTGTCCCCCCCCTTAACTTCTACAAATCTCAACCTCGTGAGTTGAAATTCGGTAGGGATCTTAAGTTTTAAGTGTAGATTACAGGAAAAATATAGCGAACCCGATTGACAAACATATTTGCAAAATAGGAGGGAAAGAAATTCAATTTTATCGAAAAAAATGCTAAAAATGACCCTGTTCCTGCGGTTAACTTTTACAAATCTCAACATTATGAGCTAAAATTCGGTAGGGATCTTAAGATTCAAGTGTAGATAACAGGAAAAATATAGCGAACCCGATTGACGGACATATTTGCGAACTAGGAGGGAAAGAAATTCAATTTTTTTGAAAAAATTACAAAAAATGACCCTGTCCCCCCCTTAACTTTTACAAATCTCAACATTATGATCTAAAATTCGGTAGGGATCTTAAGTTTCAAGTGTAGATTACAGGAAAAATATAGCAAACTCGATTGACGGACATATTTGCGAACTAGGAGGGAAAGAAATTCAATTTTTTCGAAAAAATTGCAAAAAATGACCCTGTCCCCCCCCTTAACTTTTACAAATCTCAACATTATGATCTAAAATTCGGTAGGGATCTTAAGTTTTAAGTGTAGATTACAGGAAAAATATAGCGAACTCAATTGACGGACATATTTGCGAACTAGGAGGGAAAGAAATTCAATTTTTTCGAAAAAATTGCAAAAAATGACACTGTCCCCCCCTTAACTTTTACAAATCTCAACATTATGATCTAAAATTCGGTAGGGATCTTAAGTTTCAAGTGTAGATTACAGGAAAAATATAGCAAACTCGATTGACGGACATATTTGCGAACTAGGAGGGAAAGAAATTCAATTTTTTCGAAAAAATTGCAAAAAATGACCCTGTCCCCCCCATAACTTTTACAAATCTCAACATTATGATCTAAAATTCGGTAGGGATCTTAAGTTTCAAGTGTAGATTACAGGAAAAATATAGCAAACTCGATTGACGGACATATTTGCGAACAAGGAGGGAAAGAAATTCAATTTTTTTGAAAAAATTACAAAAAATGACCCTGTTCCTGCGGTTAACTTTTACAAATCTTAACATTATGAGCTAAAATTCGTTAGGGATCTTAAGTTTTAAGTGTAGATTACAGGAAAAATATAGCGAACTCGTTTAACGGACATATTTGCGAACTAGGAGGGAAAGAAATTCAATTTTTTCGAAAAAATTGCAAAAAATGACCCTGTCCCCCCCTTAACTTTTACAAATCTCAACATTATGAGCTAAAATTCGGTAGGGATCTTAAGTTTCAAGTGTAGATTACAGGAAAAATATAGCGAACTCGATTGACGGACATATTTGCGAACTAGGAGAAAAAGAAATTCAATTTTTTCGAAAAAATTGCAAAAAATGACCTTGTCCCCCCCCTTAACTTTTACAAATCTCAACATTATGAGCTAAAATTCGGTAGGGATCTAAAGTTTCAAGTGTAGATTACAGGAAAAATATAGCGAACCCGATTGACGGACATATTTGCGAACTAGGAGGGAAAGAAATTCAATTTTTTTGAAAAAATTACAAAAAATGACCCTGTTCCTGCGGTTAACTTTTACAAATCTCAACCTAGTGAGCTGAAATTCGGTAGAGATCTTTAGTTTCAAATGCAGATTACATGAAAAATATAGCGAACCCGATTGACGGACATATTTGCGAACTAGGAGGGAAAGAAATTCAATTATTTTGAAAAAATTACAAAAAATGACCCTGTTCCTGCGGTTAACTTTTACAAATCCCAACCTAGTGAGCTGAAATTCGGTAGAGATCTTCATTTTTAAGTGAAGATTAAGGTAAAAATATAGCGAACTCGATTGACGGACATATTTGCGAACTAGGAAGGAAAGAATTTCAGCTCAATAGGTTTATATATGTTAATATTAATCAATTATATTTCTTATATATATTTTTTTTATAAAAAATGAGTTTTATTTTGGTGTACGGAACCCTTGATCTTAATGCGAGTGCAACTCGCACTTGCCCGATTTTTTTATTATATTTATTTATTTTTTTTTATTTATTTATTTATTTTTTATTTTATTTATTTATTTATTTTTTACTTTTATTTATTTATTTATTTATTTTTTATTTATTTATTTTCTATTTATTTTTTTTTTATTTATTTCTTTTAGATGCAAAGAGAGGAAGAAAAAGAGGTAAAGCGGGTGGAAAGAGTCGAAGGGATTGGTATCGGAGGAGAAATAATTATGAGAATGGAAGGAATCCTAGAAGTAAAGGAGAGGAAGGTGATATAAGTCAAGAAGGTGAAGGAAAAAGAGGTTATAGTGGAAAACGGGGAGGATGGAGAAGAGGACATCAGGATGGAAGGCGAGGAGGACGAGGGGGTGGAAAATAAAGAAGAGGACGAGGGGGTGGGCAAGGAAGAGGAAAAGCGTTATCATGTCGACCAAATGTCAGTACTGTTATAACCACGACTGCCAGTATTGCGCCAATTGTTAATTTCTGCTTGGGATGTAAATTTTGTTTAAAACTGTGGTGGTTTACTCTAATTCCCTAATATATCTCTCCCTATTATATAAAAACATTTCGCCGCCGCCGCAGAGTCAGGATTTATAAGGGCCCCTTATAGTAAAGGGAACATAGTCATGGTTGGCCCACTGTTGAGGTAGGTCCATAGTCAGAAACAAGTTACATTTGACCTAAATTCAGGTCAATTTAAAGGGCAGTTTTAACCTACAGGTAAAAAATTGACAGGTAATTCCCTCTGCCCTTAAAATTGACCTACATTTTGAGGGCCAATTCCCTCTGCCCTCAAAATGTAGGTCAATTTTAAGGGCAGTTTTGACCTAAACGTCAAAAATTCACAAACAATTCTCTCTAACCTCAAAATGTAGGTCAATTTTAAAGGCAGTTTTAACCTACAGGTAAAAAATTGACAAACTAATCCCTCTGCCCTTAAAATTTATGTCAATTTAAAGGTCAGTTTTAACCTACAGATAAAAAAATGACAAGCAGTTCCCTCTGCCCTCAAAATGTAGGTCAATTTTAAGGGCAGTTTTGACCTAAACGTCAAAAATTCACATACAATTCTCTCTGACCTCAAAATGTAGGTCAATTTTAAGGGCAGTTTTAATCTATAGGTAAAAAATTGACAAACAATTCCCTCTGCTCAAAAAATTTAGTTCAATTTTAATGGCAGATTTAACCTGCAGGTCAAAAAATGACAAACTAATCCCTCTGTCCTTAATATTCATGTCGATTTGAAGGGTAGTTTTAACCTACAGGTAAAAAATTGACAAACAATCTCCTCTGCTCTCAAAATGTTGGTCAATTTTAAAAGATTTTGACCTAACCGTAGAAAATTGACGAAGAATTCCCGCTGTCCTCAAAATTTAGTTCAATTTTCAGAGCAGTTTTTATCTACACCGTATAAAAATTTTAGAGAAAACTCCTTCTGACTTGACCTTTCCTCAAAATTTAGGTCAAATTTGACATATTTTTAACCTACTTTTTAAAAAAGCAAATTAATTAGGATATTTCAAGAGGTCGTTACCTTATATTAAAATTTGATAAAATTTTTGACCTATAGGTTAAAAGAAGCTTGACTTAAAATTTAATAGTAAGTTTAAATCAATAAAAGATGTTATAAACTGACATCTATTTTTTAAAATTTTATTAAAATTTATTTCCCTTTAGAGAAAAACATAACCTCAAACTTAGTTTAAAAGTTATAGGTGAGGGAGTAAAAATAAAACGCCAAAATTAGGTCAAAATAATAGGTGGGAAAGCAAACATAACTTTAAAAATAAATAGATTCAAAATACAAGTCAAAATTTAATCTAATTATTCACATATAGGTTGAAAAAAGGTAAATAACAATTGTTTCATTACTTCGAAATCCATGTGTACTTTGTCATATACTTATTGTAATTTATTATGATGCATTCTTCATATTAAAAAAACATTATTTGAAATTTTTTAAAATTAAAATAAATATAAAAAATACAGATAGGGAGTTGTATGTAATTTATTATGATCCTTTTCACCACTAAAACCGCGGCTTTCAAATATTACAATTTTTTCTAAAAAGGAGACCGAAACAAGCCTGGTAGCACCATGGCTTCAGTTCGCTAACTCCTTTTCACCTCCAAAACAATAAGACTTGATTTTTGAATATATTTTTTAGATAAATACTGTAACAAGCCTGGGGGCACCCTGGCTTCAGTTTTATAACTCTTTTACACCACTAAAACCGCGGCTTTCAAATATTACAATTTTTTCTAAAAAAGGAGACCGTAACAAGCCTGGTAGCACCATGGCTTCAGTTCTCTAACTCCTTTTCACCTCCAAAACAATAAGACTTGATTTTTGAATATATTTTTTAGATAAATACCGTAACAAGCCTGGGGGCACCCTGGCTTCAGGTTTCCAACTCCTTTTCACCACTAAAACCGCGGCTTTCAAATATTACAATTTTTTCGTAAAATCTGACCGCAACAAGCCTGGGGGCACCCTGGCTTCAGGTTCCCAACTCCTTTTTACCACTAAAACCGCGGCTTTCAAATATTACAATTTTTTCTAAAAAAGGAGACCGTAACAAGCCTTGTAGCACCATGGCTTCAGTTCTCTAACTCCTTTTCACCTCCAAAACAATAAGACTTGATTTTTGAATATATTTTTTAGATAAATACCGTAACAAGCCTGGGGGCACCCTGGCTTCAGGTTCCCAACTCCTTTTTACCACTAAAACCGCGGCTTTTAAATATTTCAATTTTTTCTAAAAAGGAGACCGAAACCAGCCTGGTAGCACCATAGCTTCAGTTCTCTAACTCCTTTTCACCTCCAAAACAATAAGACTTGATTGTTGAATATATTTTTTAGATAAATACCGTAACAAGCCTGGGGGCACCCTGGCTTCAGGTTTCCAACTCCTTTTTACCACTAAAACCGCGGCTTTCGAAAATTGTAATTTTTTTATAAAATGCAGACCGGAACAAGCCTGGGAGCACCCTGGCTTCAGGTTTCCAACTCCTTTTTACCACTAAAACCGCGGCTTTCAAATATTACAATTTTTTCGTAAAATCTGACCGCAACAAGCCTGGGAGCACCCTGGCTTCAGTTTTATAACTCTTTTACACCACTAAAACCGCGGCTTTAAAATATTACAATTTTTTCTAAAAAAGGAGACCGTAACAAGCCTGGTAGCACCATGGCTTCAGTTCTCTAACTCCTTTTCACCTCCAAAACAATAAGAGTTGATTTTTGAATATATTTTTTAGGTAAATACCGTAACAAGCCTGGGGGCATCCTGGCTTCAGGTTTCCAACTCCTTTTTACCACTTAAACCGCGGCTTTCGAACATTGCAATTTTTTCGTAAAATCTGACCGGAAATAGTCTGGGAGCACCCTGGCTTCAGTTTTCCAACTCCTTTTCACCTCCAAAACAATAAGACTTGATTTTTGAATATATTTTTTAGATAAATACCGTAACAAGCCTGGGGGCACCCTGGCTTCAGGTTTCCAACTCCTTTTCACCACTAAAACCGCGGCTTTCAAATATTACAATTTTTTCGTAAAATCTGACCGGAACAAGACTGGGAGCACCCCGGCTTCAGTTTTCCAACTCCTTTTCACTACTTAAACCGCGGCTTTCGAGCATTGCAATTTTTTCGTAAAATCTGACCGGAACAAGCCTGGGAGCACCCTTGCTTCAGTTTCTAACACTGTTTCACCACTAAAACCGTGCCTTTCCAATATTACAATTTTTTTCTAAAAAAGGAGACCGTAAGAATCCTGGGCGCACCCTGGCTTCACTTTTCAAACTCCTTTTTACCACTAAAACCGCGGCTTTCGAAAATTGTAATTTTTTTATAAAATGCAGACCGGAACAAGCCTGGGAGCACCCTGGCTTCAGGTTTCCAACTCCTTTTTACCACTAAAACCGCGGCTTTCAAATATTACAATTTTTTCGTAAAATCTGACCGCAACAAGCCTGGGAGCACCCTGGCTTCAGTTTTATAACTCTTTTACACCACTAAAACCGCGGCTTTCAAATATTACAATTTTTTCTAAAAAAGGAGACCGTAACAAGCCTGGTAGCACCATGGCTTCAGTTCTCTAACTCCTTTTCACCTCCAAAACAATAAGAGTCGATTTTTGAATATATTTTTTAGGTAAATACCGTAACAAGCCTGGGGGCATCCTGGCTTCAGGTTTCCAACTCCTTTTTACCACTTAAACCGCGGCTTTCGAACATTGCAATTTTTTCGTAAAATCTGACCGGAAATAGTCTGGGAGCACCCTGGCTTCAGTTTTCCAACTCCTTCTTACCACTAAAACCATGTCGTTTAAAAATTGCAATTTTTTTCATCAAATGAGACCGAAACAAGCCTGGGAGCACCCTGGATTCAGTTTTCCTACTCCTTTTCACCTCCAAAACAATGGGATTTGAACTTTAAAAAATTTTTGTGGTGAATAAAGAATGTAACAAGCCTGGAAGCACCCCGGCTTCAGTTTTCCAACTCCTTTTCACCTCCAAAACAATGGGATTTGAACTTTAAAAAATTTTCGTGGTGAATAAAGAATGTAACAAGCCTGGAAGCACCCCGGCTTCAGTTTTCCAACTCCTTTTCACCTCCAAAACAATGGGATTTGAACTTTAAAAAATTTTCGTGGTGAATAAAGAATGTAACAAGCCTGTAAGCACCCCGGCTTCAGTTTTCCAACTCCTATTTACCACTAAAACCATGTATTTCGAACATTGCAATTTTTTCATAAAATGCAGACCGGAACAAGCCTGGGAGCACCCTGGCTTCAGTTTTCCAACTCCTTTTCACCACTAAAACCATGTCTTTCGAACATTGCAATTTTTTCATAAAATGCAGACCGTAAGAAGCCTGGGCGCACCCTGGCTTCAGTTTTCCAACTCCTTTTCACCACTAAAACCATGTCTTTCAAAAATTGCAATTTTTTTCATCAAATGAGACCGAAACAAGCCTGGCAGCACACTGGCTTCAGTTTTCCAACTCCTTTTCACCTTCAAAACAATGAGACTTGATCTTTGAAATTGTTTTTTTTATAAATACCGTAAGAAGCTTGGGAGCACCCGGGCTTCACTTTTCAAACTTCTTTTTACCACTTAAACCGCGGCTTTCGAAAATTGTAATTTTTTTATAAAATGCAGACCGGAACAAGCCTGGGAGCACCCTGGCTGCAGTTTTCTAACTCTTTTTCATCACTAAATCCGCGGCTTTCGAATATTACAATTTTTTTCTAAAAAAAGGAGACCGAAACAAGTCTGGGAGCACCCTGGCTTTCGTTTCAAACGCCTTTTCAGCACTAAAACTGTAGCTTTCGAAAATTGCAATTTTTTTCTTAAAATGCAGACAGAAACAA